TGGCGCGGCCGCCCGCCGGCGCCGAGGCAGGGCCCGCGGCACTCTCGGGCCGGGCTCTCACTTCCCACAAGTGTCGCGAGAGGACCGCGACGCCGGCGGGAGCGAGGCCGACACTGGCACCCGCGGCCGAGACGCTCAAGGTCCCCAGAACGCGGTACGCCCAGCTCGTCCAGGGAGAGGCGGAGCGAGGGCGGAGTCCTCTGCGGAGAAGCCAATCAGATAGCTCCGCCGGACCACCGGGCCCCGAGCGGGGCCGAAGTCGCTCATCGGGCCCCGCCCAACCGGGGGTTGGGGGGGGTCCCGACATCGCGCCTGCGCAAACAGCGCCTTCCGCCGCGCCGGCCCTCTGCGCATGCGTGCCTGCTGGCGCTCCCGTGAGGCAGTGCGAAGAGTGCGGCGTTTTGGCGCGGTCTGTGAGGGGCCGGGCAGTGCATCCTTGAGGTGAGGGGCGTCGCCTGGGTGTAGGCCGGGCGGGCGGGCGGTGAAGTGTGCGACCCGTTTCCTCTTTCAGGAGTTAGAGCGTCGGTGTAGGGTGCCAAGGGCGGTGGGCTCGACCGCGAGCCGAGACCCGGTCCCTGAGCGACGGGGGATTGGGGGGAGGCCGGCGGCCGGGGTCCGTCGCGTCACCTTGCCTGGTGTCCGGGAGCTTGTGCCGCTTCGGGGTTGGGGGGGTGTACTTTCTCAGCGTGCACAGGTATCACGACGGCCTGCACCCGCGAAAAGCCCGAAACTAGAAAACAACCCAGAGATTTCAGCCGCTAGGATGCCGGGCGCGTCGCGACCTCGGCGGCTCACCGGCGGCCTCGCGCAGCCTCGGCTCGGCGTCTGTGTCGGCGCGCGTCCGCGGGAGACGAGGCGGGAGCGCAGTGCTGGCTCACGCCGCGGTCTCCCCTCGCAGGCCGGCTTCCGCGCAGCGTCGGGGTCGATCTGGGAGCTCGACGAGTCCTCACAGGGCCCTCGGAGTGGTCATCCTTCTCATTCAACCACTGTATGTATTTTTATTTTCTTCTTTCTTTCTTTTGGCGGAACCGTGTATTTTTATTTTCTTAACGTAGGATGGGCAGGGAAAAGCTGCTGCTAGCTACTTGGTGGCTTGGGTTTGGATTCGTTTGCTTTGAATGAAATACAAAGGTAGTGTATTTGAAAATATTTCATCCATGGGAAAAGAGATTATATTACTGGGTTTCCATTTCTGGTGCGGTTATTTTGAGAAATACCCTAATTGTTTTCCTTTGTCTTCATCAAACATTGCAGCTACAACTATATTTTAGTCCACTGGCTCTCAAATATGTGACTTGAGTATCTTCCTTTTAAAAACATATTTATTTGTGGTCTAATACTTGTTTTCTTCCCCTCTAGGAGGAGTCATTATATATTCTAAAAATATTATCCCATTCTCTATGGACTTTTTGTTGTTGTTGGGTACCAGAAATTGAACTCAGGATCTTGTGCTTGCCAGGCAGGCACTTGTACTATTGAGCTATATCCCCAACCACTCTTTATGGACTTCTGTAAAAGTTAATTTTGTTTTAGTTTGGATTTATTTGATAAAATTAGCACCACATACCCATATCAGATACAAAACAAACCTGAAAAAACAACTAGGGTGGTTAAAGCATGAGCTGTGGAAATGAGTTTGTGGAAACATTAAAAATAATTGGTTATCCCAAAGCTGATAGCCTTAATGGAGAAGATTTTGACTGGCTATTTGAGATTGTTGAAGATGAAGCATTTTTAAAATGGTTTTGTGGAAATGTGAGTGAACAAAATGTATTGTCAGAAAAGGAACTGCACGCTTTTAGCCTTCTTCAGAAATCGGGCAAACCCATTCTAGAAGGGTCAGCATTGGATGAAGTTCTTAAAACTTGTAAAACTTCTGATTTGAAGACACCTAGACTGGATGATAAAGAGCTGGAGAAATTAGAGGATGAGGTTCAAATGCTGCAGAAATTAAAAAACCTAAAAATTCAGCGACGTAATAAATGCCAACTGTTGACTTCAGTATCTAGTCACAAATCTCTGAGGTTAAACGTTGAACGTGAAGAAGCCACTAAAAAACTTAAGCAGAGTCAAGGAATTCTGAATGCTACAAATGCTAAGCTCAGTAATGAACTTCAGGCTCTTACTGACGGAGTTACTAAATTGATAATGTTCTTCAGACAATCTGATTTAAATCAAGAGACAAATCCCATGGTATTTTTATCTCAGTTTTCCTTGGAAAAATATCTAAGCCAAGAAGAACAAAGCACAGCAGCTTTAACCTTGTATACTAAAAAGCAATTCTTTCAGGGAGTACATGAAGTAGTTGAAAGTTCAAATGAAGAAAATTTTCAACTTTTAGATATGCAAACACCATCTCTATGTGATAATCAAGAAATCCTTGAGGAGAGACAACTAGAAATGGCTAGATTGCAGCTAGCATACATATGTGCTCAGCATCAGTTAATTCATTTGAAAGCAAGTAATCTGAGCATGAAGTCGAGTATAAAATGGGCAGAAGAAAATCTTCATAGCCTAACCAGCAAGGTAAATATAAGAAATTATACTGGATTCATATAATTATTGTTAGGAATATAGGATTGAATATTGCTATTAAAGTACTTTAGAAAGGAAAATTGAATAATTAATTACAAGTTTTAAAAAGTTTTCTGGGCTGGGGAGATAGCTTGGCAGTCTAAGTGCTTGCCTGGCAAGCACAAGGACCTGGGTTCCATCCCCAGTTCTGCATGCCACATGCTCTGCTGGCCCTGGAACCCGGGATGCACTGTGCTGGCCCCAAAACTGTGGTGGTGCATGCCTGTAATCGCAGCGCTGGGGAAGCTGAGATAGGAAGATCACTATGATTCCAAGCTCCATGGTGAGATCCTGTACCAAAAAAAAAAAAAAAATCAAAAAGGATTTTCAAAAAATTAGAAGTTTTCTCTTTGGTGCTTGTTTGTGGCACATATTTTAGTGTTTTACAAATAGGTCCTCCTACTAATGGAAGGCAGAAATAATTATGTTATCTCTTTCTAGATATCTATATAACACATTTATTTTAAACAAATGCTTTAATTTGCATTCTGAATTTGAAATTTCTATTAATTCAGAAATTAACTGAACAGGCTCAACAGGAATTTCTTTTTTGAGAAGTATGGTAAAAAGACAAGTTGCTTTATTGTCAGCATTTTACTTTGTTTACTATGACAGAAGCATGGTTCTAATGAAGTCAGAGGTCCAGGTTCAGTCAACTGAATCCCTGCTACCTAGTTGATCATGTCTAGGTGTATTGTAGATGTGGGAAGCTTGTTTTCTTGGTAATGTAAGCCACTAGATAGTTGAGTAAAAGTGTAACTTTGAATCTGAATACCAACATCAATTTAGTTACTACAACTGTCACAGACTTTGGAATAATAAAGAAGTCCTATATTGTGTACTAAAGTAAAGAACATGACTAGCAGAATACCTACGGTGATAATGTTGAAGAAAATCTTACATAGTGTTTGTTTACATTCAGTGAATAGTAAGCTATTAATGTTTTAGTTTCCATTAAGCATCACAAGATCTCTTATTTTGGTAGCTATGTATATAGTAACATTAAAATTTTTAGTGCTTTACACTGACTTTACTCTTTCTCCATACCTTTTAATTTTTTTGCTGTTGGCTTTGAGACAGGGTCTCACTGTATATAGTTTATGCTGGCCTTGAATTCGTTATCTAGCTTAGGCTGGCCTAGAACTTGCAGTGATCATTCTGCCTCATCCTTCCAGTGCTGGGATCACAGGTGTGTGCGTGCTACCAGGTCTGGCTTTACTTTTTACTTTTTACGCTATAATTTTGGCTTATGTTTATATGGAGTGAGTTTTTATTCATTGAGCATATTAGCTGGTCACCTAAAATAGGAAGTGAAAATAATTTAAAAACTAAGTTTGAGTCTACATTTTGAAGTGTAATTGCTTTTCTTTGTATAGGCTGTTGGTAAAGAAAATTTGGATGCCAAAATTTCTAGCTTGACTAGTGAGATTCTGAAACTTGAAGAACAAATCACACATATGAAGGACAAAAGTTTGCCTGCTGTGGTAAAAGAGAATGCACAGTTACTGAATATGCCAGTAGTGAAGGGGGATTTTGACCTGCAGATTGCTAAACAAGATTATTACACTGCAAGACAAGAGTTAGTTTTAAACCAGTTAATAAAGCAAAAGGCATCATTTGAACTGGTACAGTTATCATACGAAATTGAATTGAGGAAGCATTGGGATACATACCATCAATTTATAAATTTGGCTCAAGAACTTAGTGAAAAAAACATGATACTTTCTCAGCGGTTAGAAATGTTAAAAGACCCATCAGTCTCTCAGCAGACAAATCCAAGGAATACCATTGATACTAAGGATTATTCTACTCAAAGGTATGTATGTTTTGTTGCTTCCTAAATAATTTTGTTCTTTTCTGTTTTGGGGGAGAGTTTGAACTAAAATCTGGAAGTTTAAAAAATTTTAATACAGTTTGTCCTTTTTTATTCTCTTCTGCTTTTCTTTTATACGCACCTTTTTAACTTTTGCTTCCTTTTTATTTGAGTGAGATCTGAACATAGCTACTTTAGAGCTGAAGTGATAGGTAGAGGAATGATTAGACCCCCCCTTTAGGCACCATTATTTAGATACATATTTTAGATTTGGGACAGGAAGTTTGATTACAGCTTTGTATACTATTGGTGGGCCAACGATTAGCTATCCTTGGAAAAGGTAGTAGAGAGAAGACTTCATTTGTATGTCTGGTCAGGTGGATTATTGAGGGTAAGTGCATAATATAATCTTGTTTTATTAATGAAATGAGGAACTTGAATAGGGCTGCTTCATTGTACAGTTTCATGGAGTGCCATTGTGATTAAGAGCTGTGTAAATGATGCTACTTGCAATTGTATAATTACCCCTATGACCTTAATTGGCAGTCTTGGACTTGAACCATTTTTTATAAGTAAAGCAGATAGTTTCATATATGTATAGGTGGTATTGCCTTAGATTTTTTTCATTTGCCCCATAGGATGATGGTTTTTTGTGCTGTTAATGTTTGAAAGGCAGAAGTGATTACATATTTCATGAATGTTTTAATTTACCAACCAAATGATACTTGACAAGATTGAGTAGGGAAAGTTTGTTGTAGCCATATATATCGTTCTTGCTTCTTTACTTTTATAATATTATTTACATCTTTAGTTTTTTATCTTTTCTTAATCTTTTTCCTTGAATGTGCATATCTTTTTTTTTTTTTTTTTTTTTTTTCTTTTGGTACTGGGAATCAAACTCACGGCCTTGTGCTTGCTATGCAGGCACTGTGCCACTGAACTAAATTCCTGGCCCAATATTCTGTCATTTTTCATAACTATAAAATAGGTATTAAGATATAAAAATTATTTCTCAGAGATTGATTTGCCTGCACTCAAATAATAGAGAACTCAG